CAACAAAGCCCATTTCATCATCCAAACAGAGAATACATCCACTAGCCGCTCTCAGTGGTAGACACGAAAGTCTTCATCGCTATGCACCATCTACAAATTAGAGCTGATAGCAGTGCTTCGGGGACTGGTGACTATTTCTCTTGCACCCTCTTTCTCTCCAACTCATGTAAAAAGCACCAGATTAACCAGTTATCTTAGAAGTCCACTCCCGCCAGCCCTTACACATCTGATTCCCACACCACGCTTCTGAGCGCTTATATCGGATTTTGCTAGATCCCTGGTAATGTAATATCGTATTTTAGCAAACCCAACCCCTGATCTCTAGCCTGCTAAGTACAAATCTCTCTATTTCCTACTCCATATAATCACTTGTCATCACATTAATTCCGGCAGACATCAAGTTTTTCTTTCTATGTGTATTATTGCATATTGTCCTATTTTATATACCCTCAAACCCACCACGTTTAGCGAACCCCTCCGATCCCATCATCTCCCCAAGCTTTGAACTGCGGAAGGACCCGTTTTGGACGACGTGGTTAGCTTATATCAACTCCACCTGGACTATGATTTACAACTCCAGGATCACCAAAAGGACCGAGAAAACCTGTGATTCTATATCGGCTTTGCTCCAGCTTCTTTCCTTGACCAGACTGAAATGAATCCCGCTGCCCAATAAACTGCACACCCCAGCCGAATCACCGTACATGTGACGTCCGATACGGGGCTGTCCAAAAAAAGCATGTCGGGTCAATGATGGCACACCATTGTCATGTTCAGTTTGATAGCCCACCCGCAACTGTTCCATTCCTCCTCCCGACCGTACCCTTTTGCCTACTCATTCTATTGACTGCTATTATGACACACTCCTCAACTGACCCCAGCTGCCTCCATGACATTCATTGCAACTCGTTCGAATTTAACAACATCTGTGTCCCATCCAACCTAACCCCTGCACCTGACTTCCCTACATCAGTGCAACCAGTTAGTCAGTTTGTTCTCAGATTGCGCCATATTTTTGAGACTAAACTTGCCATGCTCCCCCAATTCGAATTATTCCGCCTCCACCTCCACTTTTGCTCGTTGTGACGCCAACCATTTAACCAACCGCCCGAGGTCACTCATGGCCAGCAATGCTTTTCCAGTTTTAGTTCATGTCAGCCGACTATGTCTTTGAATTAGTCAGACCTCATGCCCATCGTTCACCACAAGTTGCGAAAGAAACCTATTATTATTATTTCGTCGAATACTTCCCACCGTTTATGACATTGTCCCCCTTTCGCGCAATCCCCACTACCCGCTGACCCCTCAGTCATGCCCCATTCTGACTGTAAACGCATGATCATGCAAGACGGTGTGTCACCCACAAGTTGGGAATTAACATTATTATAATTGTGCACGCTGCCGCTTGTCTTCTATCCATAGTAAACACCAGGTCAATATCCATGCTAACCGAGAAGAATGAGGCTCCAACTATGGGTATTATCCTACTCCAACGGCAAAACACGACCCGTCAAACTCGTAACTGCAGTCGGTATCGCCTATTTTGTCAACTTATCGTAATTGCAGGGCTTGTGTCTATGTGCGACGCCCATTAGCCCAGTTCAATGGTCAACGACGGCCTGTCATACGCTAAATTGTACTCGATTTCACCTGAGAGGCCATTTATAGTAACCGCCAAACCCGTGCACGTGTTCGTGGTTGATCATGCCAGACGGTATGCCACCCACAAGATGGAAATAAACATTATTATTATTATTATTATTATGCCCAAACTATACATAATTGACTAATCCAACGAACAATCTCTTTACTTCGTATCCATACGTCGTCCATTTGCCAACCCCACGCCTGAAAAATACAGCCACCTTTAATGAATCATGTTTCTATTTATTGATAACATCGGTGAAAAAATAATCTGCGGTCAATCCAGTTTCAAGTTTTTACTCGATAGTGTTTCTGAAAAAATGTGTAATCAATTACGACTCGTGCACATTTTACGTGATATCATTTAAAAGAAATAATTAAACAACGTTGCGGTGGCTAACTAACGAATCGCTTAACGGATCCCTTTGTCCACAAATCCCGGTCGGCGTCCACGCTCAACCTGAAAACTTACTGTTATAAAGGTTAACACATTGCTTGCTCAATTAGTCCAGTTGGCGTGTGTACATCGATTATTCGATAGCGGGATTCGGTAACCACATGCAGTATTGGGCGTGGCGAAGTTAAAATTAAAGAGGTATGTATACTTGCAGTCGTAAGGCCAAATGGTAAAGACTTGAGTCTTACGATCGCAGGGCGACACGCGCCCTCAAGCGTCCACCCATAAATGCAGCCGTATCGAAGATCTAGTGATTAAGTGGGTGTTTGGCCTCAAATCCGCTCGTTTGGAGCGGAAATCCCAACTTCCCTCCATCTGCTATGCGATACCGATACAATGTGGCTTAATAAAATCGACAGCTCGGTCTTCCTCATCAAAACTCGTGACCATCACATACTTAGCCAGATTATCAAGCTTTCCAACAAGGAGCACCCTTCTGAGCTTTATCCAACTCACTGCTCATTTCGAGGTATTCTAGCCCGTCTTCACTTCTGAAATCATCTCGACCATATCCGAATAAATTAGCTAGTAAGATAGCCAAACCTGATGGGATCAAACTGTCCCAGATAGTGATTATGATTTAGCTGGAGACTGCAAGGAGACATTCTTCAGTGGAAAATTCCCAGCAGCCTTCGACCAGGCCCCCCACGCCTCTCTTCAACCCGAACTCACTACCGTTGGCATCATTGGAAGATAATTTCAGTGGTTTGTTTCCTACCTATCTGAATGTAACTGTCGCCTTTCAGATTTGCCGACAGAGACCCACACGAGCTATGGTTTCGAGACAACCGTTGGAAACACCTGAAAACGCATTTGTTCCGTTTCTCAAATGGACCGGGTCTCATAGTCATACGACAGAACAGCCCGCACTACAGCTTGATACACACGTTACTTGATATTCACGAATATACCGCCTTGGCACCATAGATGTTTCAAATTAGCAAACGCGACCCGAGCATTTTAGGTTCGTGCATTGATCTCATCTGTCACACCACAGTCAAAACTAATACAACTTTGAATGTATATATATATAAGTAAACTGTAGCCCCACACTACCTCTCCAACCGGATGAGAAAAATCCCTGCGGGATTAGATAAGCATTGTTTTGGCTCTGAGGATTTCCTCGGCCAACCAAAAATATCCCACTCTTCACAGAATTGCACATCCAAGCTAACTCATATCAGAAGTGACATCCGTCGCGGGGCTGCCCAGAAACCGAAGTATTTCAGTGCACTGATGGCATGGTTCTGCTATACCCAGTTTGATAGCACACCCGCAACTAGTCCCTTCCTCCTCTTGATTGCACCCTATCGCCCACTTGTTCCATAACCTGCATCCACAAGCAACCTCACGCTATGTTCTGAGTGACCTTATGATCATGCCCGACAGCACGTCATCCACCTGCTGGGAATGAACATCATTATGATAACATGACACTTTGTGGGTACAAAGTGCACACCAATGGACAGAATGACTTTGATCAGTTTATCCAAAAATAGCTGCGCCTTTGCCTCCTCTCCCAAGACGAGAACGCTCTCTGCATACTACAGATCGATGAGATTTTTGCCAGAAGAAGACCACCTTCAGAAGACATTTCATGTCATTATCTCATCGGTCACCAATTTAAGTGAGAAAGGGGAGATGGCGCTTGCGACGGACACAACCCTGTGTACGCAAGTTTAGGAGCTCCCCATATATTCCCGTGACATGTTCGCCTCTTCTGCACCTCCCTTCCACGACAATGCAAAAGGCTGCATGGTTGACAAATCTCACGTCAAATGCATGCCCTCTCCCTAACTTTGGGCCATCTGTTATTACGAGGGGCACTCTAACTCACGTCAAAGTGCTTTCTAGCAAACCTGTCGGACACTTTTCCTATTATGGGTCCCAAATGTAGACATGGATGTCTTATTGTCTCGTTAGGATGGCAGCGATGAACCACGGTGAACCCCCGATGGACCCAAGAATATCCTAACTACAATGGCAGATATAAACGGCCCATCCAGGGTGTTCATCTACAGGGCTGTCCACAAACTGAAGAGCGGCGTCGCGATGACGGTAGCGCCACTACCGTACCCACTCTGATGGCTTGCCCGTAGTCCAATATATCTCTATTCCCCAGACGGGCGTGTTACCCAGAATATCGATTCAGTCCGTTTAATTTGAGCAAGGACTTGAAAGCGGTGACCATCCACAGGAATCAAATAACGCAAATCGGGGACACACAAACACCTCCACTATCGATCACTATTGGAGTCATCCAAAGAAGCGCGCTAGGCCCCACCATTGTCTTACTTTACGTCAAAGACGTCTTCGGCGCCATATCACATGGTAAGGATTTCCTCTTCGCGGACAGTATAAAAATCGCGTACACATTCCCCCTCTGCAAAAGCCGGCTTGTTCTGCCCTCAAACACAATAGTTTACCCAACGGCACCAGTGGTGGCTCGATACATCGGTGACGATCAAACCTTGCCTTAAGCCAGATATAAGCTTACCAACCCTGACGAGATCCCTGGTTTCAGTGGAACGCTTGTGGCAACCATAGAGGGAATTTTCATGTCCAGGTTGCCAATATTCGTTCCAACTTAAGTTTTCGCGGATATAATGGGTGTCATTATAGCCTCAGTGGTTTCGAGATTACTTCCAAGTCCAAGTTCCGAGTTCGTTTACACAATTTCGATTAAGGTCAAACGAATCTGGCCTAAGCTTCTACTGCACAAAATCCTGCTGCTCTATCCCGGCTGACGCTTTCACAAACAGTGGAAATCCTATCATCTATTCCACGGAGATCAAAGATCTTGGCCTCAGATTTTATTGTACTTAAGTTCGTTTACACAATTTCGATTAAAACTGTGGTCGCATGGGGAGATCTTGAGCGCCCGAATAAGTACCATCAAATGCTGAAAATTCATGTTAAAGGTTCTCTTTTTCAAACCACAGTTTCAGAGAAATTTTGGTCGTTTCTTTCTGTTAAATGGCATCTTCAAATTCGAGGTACTTATTGACCTTGAGAAATCAGTTACCTAAACGAATCATGTGAAGAAGTCGTAGACGAGCTCAGTAGCAATGCGTATTCGAGTATGCAAAGTGGCAAGCTCCAACATCTTGTCGTTTCCGAGACAACATTTTCACGTTTTGATATTGTTCAACCTACCCTGTCTTACCCTGCTATCTGGTCGGCCCCGTGATTCGTATGCTGATTGGTAAATGGTGGCCCTCAAGGTCATTCAGCTTATTTATATTACGAAAACCGGGCACACGGATGGTACCGCAGCATACGGTATGTCACTTTGATTGATTCATATGTAAGTATTGGTGATGTACAACCTTGCTTACTGGGCTTTGGCTCATGAGCTTTATTTCTGTTTTCCATCCACAGGAATTGTCGTGAACACCTGCCTTCGGCTAATCACTGCCCCCTGGTGCTTCCATAGCGTGCATAGTACATAAATTGGCGACCCTGCCCGGATGGTTACCACACACAGAGTAGACCTACCAGAAAGATCCTGGCTCTACATATGTGCACACAAGCCTCAGAGCTACCACGTTGCTCACTCACACACGGTAGACGCAGCCCCAGATACAGCAACCCCTGCACACACTCACCAGCTTAACGCACCACACAACTAGCACCGGCCGGTTCACGTAGGCCATGGTACACCGGGGACGGTGTTCTTCAAAAAGGAGGAATATCACTATTACCACAACTTTTCGATTCTTCACTTTTGTGACCTACCAGGAGTCCATGAAATGCACCGTAGGATTTTAATGATAAATAGAACCTTAATTTGGTTTATATGCACTGCAACAGCGTTTTTAAGCGTTTGTTCCAGTCGCTCTCCGTCTTTGCGTAAGGTGTAATGCTTTTTTTAAATATAGTCCCTGGCGCCTTACACGGTCTCTAGATGCATGTGATGGGAGTGTACTTGACAAAAATCAGTGATACCTAAAGCGCCATTCAGCGGCTATGTATAACTATACAGTCGAAAATGAGGTATTTATCGTGCAGATTCAATTTGTATGTGACGAACTAACGAAAAATGGTTTCCGAGGTTGTGGTAATAGCACAGCCGCTTTATTTCTGTTTTCCACCCACAGAAATTGTCGTGAACACCTGCCTTCAGAGAATCACCGTTCCCTGGTGTTTCCATAGCGTGCATATTACAGTACATATGGGCTTGTCGCTCCCCCCATCCACGAGGGCATCTTACCCCTAGCTGTCTAGTGCCGTTTTCCCGACACGATGAACATTTACGATACGCGGAGAAATTCATTTGTCGGCATTAACCCCCTGTCGTCTTGTTTATGCCGGAGCATGATGAAATATATTTTGACCGAATTAGATTCACTCGAAGTGTAATTGTTATTGCAATGGGAATTTCTACCAGAAGAGTTTGTTTTTCAATTTTTCCTACGTTCTCTTTCTTGAGTGGCCGTGCCCAGGTAAACAACTTTGCCTACTACCCCAATCGACTGATCCGCAAGCTTAATCTATGTGGTATGTGCACTTCATATCTGTGAGCGATTGCCCTGAAAAAAATCGTTCAGCTGTAACACCTTTTTAGTGCCTGGCTGTCATGCTACCTGAAGGAAGCAGGAGGCCTGGGATACTGCCCGGTTGCCCAAGCCTAAACAGACGAAGTCGAGAACCAGATGTTGGGTTCGAACCACAGACCTTCCGTTCAGTGGATTCGTGCCATAACTACTGAGCCATCTCGTCCCCGTGTGAGAGCTTCCTGTAGACCTTCATGCGTCCGCGGTTGCTAGCATACTGTGACAAAAAATCTACTGTACGGGCGCTGTTGTAGTGCCTGACGGTCAACAGAATCAAAGGTACCCTCCAGGTCAAGGAAGACAACCATTGTTGGTTGCTGGAAGCAACGTTGTCGTTTCGGAATCTATTGGAGGGTGCAAATATGATCGATGCATCATCTTGCAGGACAGGATCCAGCGTGTTTTTCACGGATCTGTCTCTCCCTGTGTTCGGTCAACCTTCGGAGGACAATACCAGAGAGCACATTCGATTTCACCGATACCAGGCTGTCACGGTGGTTTTCATGCAGTGTGCGCGTACCATTTTTGAAGATTGAAATAGTTGTCACATGCTCCAGGTCCAGGGACTCAGCTGAGTGGCAGTAGGTGGCCACGAGAATTGTTCAATGTGCTCGGCCCAGCGGTCGAAGCATTCTTTTTTATCGATTTTGGTCGCACCACTTTGATCCTCTCTGGTTTCGCCTACCGACGGTTCTCAGGGACTAGTCGCACGGATCAACTGAAATAATATTGGGGTATGCCAGGCCTTCTTAACCTCTTCCATGCCCGAGTTCTTCCGAGTTCACCTGGCCTCACGGTCGGTGTGGACGCTATGTTTTACTTGACATCTGATAGTTCTTCAGGGGGTTATGTATATAAAAAGCAGCATCCAGATGGACAATCTAGTCACGCTGCAGAATTTTGTAGACATAATCGGGCCCTTATATTCACATACCCTCGGGCGTGTGAGAGTGTATGGTGCGCTTTCTAGAAGATTCCCTACTGAAGATTGTGTCCGGAAGCACGTCCAATCACTATTTTTACCAATATCATCATCAGTGAAATGATATGGCAAACTCCGAGAGGCGGTATATAAAATAGTTGCTAGTGGGAACCATTTCGATTCGAAGTACCTAGACGGCGTCATCTTTATTTTTGAAGGCCGAAACCAGAAACCAGCTCTGTTGGATGAACTGACCACCATCATACCGTCTTTCAACGTGCTCGTTACACCTACAAATTGCAATCATGTTTCAGGACGGCAGTCTGCAATTCAGGGTGGAGCACAGGAAGTTGTGGAAAAATTTACACACCAAGGCAGTCGTGGGTTATTTGACAGAAATATCTGATGAACTCAGCAAACGAATCTCAATTTCACCGACCTTGTTTGCTAATTTAAATAACTTGTTCGAAGGTGCTCTCTGGCCTTATCCCTCGAAGGTTGACTGAACACAGGGAGAGGCAAATCCGTGAAAACCAAGCTGGGTTCCGTTCTGCAAGAGGTTGCATCGATCATGTATTCACCCTCCGACAGATTCTGGAACAGCCACACTGCTTCCAGCAACCAACAATGGTTGCTTTTCTTGATCTGAAAGCGGCCTTTGATTCTGTGGACCGCCAAGCACTGACAGTGTCTGCGGAGCAAAGGTGTCCCCCGTAAATTCTTGACCCTCATTAAGGCGCTGTACGCTAACTCCCGAGGCCGTGTAAAGGTCTACGGGAAGCTCTCTCCTGAGTTCACCACATCAAGTGGCGTCCGACAGGGTTGTCCTCTTTCACCTTTCCTCTTCAACCTCGTCATTGACGAGATCATGGAAGACGCACTACCAGCCTCTAATGCCTGTGGGGTCGAAGTGCTCCCTGGGCCTCCGCTCACAGACATCGAGTACGCAGACGACATAGCTCTTCTTGGATCTGACCCCAGGGCAATGCAAACAATACTAAATAATCTAAATAATTCTGCCTCGCGGTTTGATATGCGCTTCACACCTGCAAAGTGTAAAGCGCTACTGCAAGACTGGGTGGGCTCGCACCCTAGCCTCATGCTTGCGGATGAACCGATTGAGGTAGTAGACAAATTTGTTTGCCTGGGCAGCTGTATCAGTCCCGGTGGTCTCGCGAAAGATGATATTCCCATCCAGATTGGGAAGGCTAGAGCAGCTTTTGAGAACCTACGTCACCTCTGGTGTAGGCGTGACATCAGTTTCTCTGTCAAGGGTCGAGTTTACAATGCTGCGGTGCGCTGCATATTACTATATGGGTCAAAAACCTGGCCACTGCGTGCTGAGGACGTCAAAAGACTTTCAGTGTCCGACCATCGATGTCTTCGGAGCATTGCCCGAATCTGGTGGGAACACCTGATCAGCAATGCTGAAGTACGTCGAATGGTATTCGGGAGAGATTACACACCCTCGACAAATGAACTGATCACACTTGCGCTTGCTTGGCCATGTGCTGCGTATACCAGTCGACCGACTTCATCGAAGGGCTCTTTTCGCCCAACCATGTGAAGAGTAGAAGAGAGCCAGAGGCGGCCAAACAATGACTTGGCAGCGAAGTGTGAAAGCTATTGCCAGCAAACTCAGCTGCGCTGGTCACTGCCGTCTTCCTGGATGGGGACGGCGAGACGGGTCACATCAGTGGCTAGAGACATTATCAGACATGGCCCAGTCGCGCCCTCAATGGCGCTCGTGCATCAAAGCTATTGCCTTCAATGCATAGCTCCTTTCCCAACCCCCACTCACTTGACAGCCCACTGACAGTGCTGGATTTATGCACTAATTTATCATCTCCCGCCTGCAATGCGTAGCTACCTGCCCCCCCGACCCAAATTCATCTCCCGCCTGCAATGCGTAGCTACCTGCCCCCTCCCCCGACCCAAATCATCGGTGAAACTGCGGCAGCTACAACCACAGTACGACGAGTACGCGGTTTTTACAGCTGACAATGATGATGATGATGAATGTACGTTCAAGTCCGCTGACAGCTTCAATGGACTTGTTTTTGGCTTCCGCATGGCATAATAGTAGATCTACTTTATTTTCACTGTTGTCTTTTCTAATCGCGCCACTTTAGTCCATCAAGAGTACAGTGTTACCGCTTTGCAACCGGACTCAATTTATCGCATTTGTTTCCAACTTTCTTCTCTCACAGGCCCCTTCGTTTTCACATTTCAGACGTCCAATGGTCCATGCAGGAACGAAGAGGCTCGTAGTGCGCGTTGTCAGCGATATCGTAATAATTTTGCTGTGTAAGCCCACGGATATATCTCTGTTTTCATACTTTCTGTCTCCTTGGTAGTGCACCTCTGCTACTTCATTATAAGTGCTGCTGCTGGATTTTCCAGACTCCGAATCTTTTGTGACGATGATTCCCTTCGCTATCCACACAAATCGGACACTATCACTATTGTGGGCTGTGCTTTCTATGCCTACCTTTTGCCGGTTCTTACTGTGAGTACGCGGGGGTGAAAATGTTTTAAGTATGATTGTCATATGATTTCTAGGTCGTCATACTGGAAGTCCTGTTGGCTGTCTATAACCGCTTCAGGCTTCAATACCGTGTTTGGAAAATGGTATGTCAGACAGTTTTCGTCTCCTGGTTTGAAGGACTAATCTTGCATATTTTTTTCACAGATGGCCTTCTTGATGTACAATTTCGTCATCACTTTTCTCATGGCCGCAGGAGTCTGCTTAATGCTCACAACTTTGATCAAGTACACACTCGGGCGACCACGACCGCATTTCTTTGATGTTTGCAAGCCAGACGTGTGCCAAACTCGTACAGGCGTAGCAGCTTCCTATACTTGTCGAGGTACAAACAAGGATGCATTAGATGACCTATTGTAAGTTCTCCAACATGTTTTCTATCTGATTACCAATGGTATAAGACCATTTAACTTCTGGTACTTGTTATATCCATCATATTCTTTCTCCCAAGGACTCTTACACTGCATGGGGTCTTTCACACCCAATTGTGCGCTGTTTGCTCAGTGCTTAGCATCCCAAAAACCACGGCCAACCGTTTTCATTATCTCAGATGAAGACTCCTGAAAGGGTCACAGGGCTGGCAAGCTATCCGCAAATTCATGTACAAAACGTTTGGTGTATTCTAACCGTCGCCTGCAGTACGTAGCTGCCAGGTTTCAAATCTTCCATGGAGAATTTGAGATAGCTCAATTTTTAAGACGGGAAACTACTAGCCAAAAATTCTTCTTATCCAACATCTGCATCCCGATTGCTCCCGTCTGGGCTTTGGCAATCTAACATTATCTCAGCACTCATGTTTCTTTCTGGTGGAGTGACAGCTAGGCAATCAAAAGATTTTACATGTTTTTTAATCCACGCAGGCACTGGCTTTAAACGGCCCATGAACGAGATTGTTCTGTGTCCTCTCCTGAACATATGTAGTGCTGTATATGTATATATGATGATGATGCACTACCACGAGGTCAGATCCAAGAAGAGCTATTTCGTCAGTGTACTCGATGTCTGTGAGCGGTGAATGTAGATTAGCAATTTGCATTTCGGTCCAGGCTTCGAGGCTTTAGACAGGAAGGAAGAAGTGGAAATCGGTTGAACATTTTTAGAGGTTGAGGGATTATCACTGACAACAACACCAGATGAGAACACTAGTACCTCGCTGTCACACAACCACGTCAGTCTACCTTATGATAGAAAAAAGATAAAGGCAGGGAGGCGACCTATGGTTGGTCTAGAACAAACGGCTGAGGAGATTACACCTCCAGCACTGTCATACAGTCCAGAAAGTGACGGCATCAACGCAACTGATATCGGTCAGCCGCCACACTGTTCAGTACCTCCAGTCAAGCACATGTGGGAGGCAAATAGCACTAACAGCGCCAAAAATTCCAGTGACGTCCTTTATTCCCTTCTTGCATGACAAGTTCGGTCCACCTCTAGGTTTCAGCCCTTCCGAACTAGGTGCGTCTACGCATTCGTAGCACATGACCCAGCCACCTCAGTTTGCATAGCTGGTTGCATTCTTTGGGTGAAGTATTGAACACTGCACCAAAGACCCGTTTCCTGATCATCTCATTGTGAACACGCTGGTTCCAACAGATCCCAGCCATAGTTCTGAGACACCAGTGATCAAATACCCAGAGATATCGCAGAACAAAAACCAGAGGTGGCTAAGTCTCACAACAATACAATAATATAGCCCACACTGTTATCTGATACGCACATCATTTGAGAACAAGTGAGATGCCTTTTTGATGTCACAAGTTATTTAAATTAGCAAACAAGGTCGGTGAAATTGAGATTCGTTTGCTGAGTTCATCAGATATTTCTGTCAAATAACCCACGACTGCCTTGGTGTGTAAATTTTTCCACAACTTCCTGTGCTCCACCCTGAATTGCAGACTGCCGTCCTGAAACATGATTGCAATTTGTAGGTGTAACGAGCACGTTGAAAGACGGTATGATGGTGGTCAGTTCATCCAACAGAGCTGGTTTCTGGTTTCGGCCTTCAAAAATAAAGATGACGCCGTCTAGGTACTTCGAATCGAAATGGTTCCCACTAGCAACTATTTTATATACCGCCTCTCGGAGTTTGCCATATCATTTCACTGATGATGATATTGGTAAAAATAGTGATTGGACGTGCTTCCGGACACAATCTTCAGTAGGGAATCTTCTAGAAAGCGCACCATACACTCTCACACGCCCGAGGGTATGTGAATATAAGGGCCCGATTATGTCTACAAAATTCTGCAGCGTGACTAGATTGTCCATCTGGATGCTGCTTTTTATATACATAACCCCCTGAAGAACTATCAGATGTCAAGTAAAACATAGCGTCCACACCGACCGTGAGGCCAGGTGAACTCGGAAGAACTCGGGCATGGAAGAGGTTAAGAAGGCCTGGCATACCCCAATATTATTTCAGTTGATCCGTGCGACTAGTCCCTGAGAACCGTCGGTAGGCGAAACCAGAGAGGATCAAAGTGGTGCGACCAAAATCGATAAAAAAGAATGCTTCGACCGCTGGGCCGAGCACATTGAACAATTCTCGTGGCCACCTACTGCCACTCAGCTGAGTCCCTGGACCTGGAGCATGTGACAACTATTTCAATCTTCAAAAATGGTACGCGCACACTGCATGAAAACCACCGTGACAGCCTGGTATCGGTGAAATCGAATGTGCTCTCTGGTATTGTCCTCCGAAGGTTGACTGAACACAGGGATAGGCAGATCATCATTCATCATCATAATCGACAGCATTTCATCAGTGTTCAACACCGATGCTTGACT